AGAAAAGAATATATTTTTTCTGTCAGTGGACACTTAAAACTGTGCAGCTCCTTTGCCCAGGAGGTTGTGAGTTTTAAAATTTTCCCTGCAAAATCAAGTTGCTTTTAATTGACAAGATTTATGGAAAAAAAGAACTTTTAACCAAGGTATTTTTTTAATTATTATTATTACATACAACTTTTAAGATTTAAATAGATTATCCCTGCTTTGGGAAGTCTCTACTCACTGGGGCTTGGGGTAGTTGTAGTCACCCCAGGCTGATGATGGGTTTTTCTCACCTCCACTGTGATTAAATTCAAGCTGCCTGTCTGGAAGTGATTGAGTTGCAGGAAGCATCTTTTGGGGTCTGTTTTCTTCAGTCAGCCAAAAGCTGAGTGCTCAGCTGGGACAGGGAGATTGATGCCATGATAATTGGCTGTAATGAGATGGTTGTAATGGGACCAAACTGGACAAACCCCCGGTGAGCCCCCTGGGGCTGCTCTTCTGCCTGAGCAAGAGAATAAATGTCACCCCAGAGCTATTTACAGCCCTGGCTCCTGAGAGCATGGAAAGTGCCTGCTGGTATCAAATTGGAGTGAAAATGAGCTTCCAGTGCAACACACCAGCCTGTGATGGCACCCTCTGATATCTCACCTTGCTGGTCCCTCCTGTGGGGAGTGAGAGCCGTGCAGAGACACCCCAGGCAACAAATGGGGGGTGTCTTTGCATCTCAGCATGGGTTCAAAGAGGAAAATGTGTGGGAATGTCATTCACAAGAGCCCAGGAGTGACCCTGTTCCTTAGGGAGGCCTTGGTGTGAGTTTTTAGTGGGCAGGGCGGTGTTGGCTCGAAGGTTGGATGTTCTTGGAGATCTTTTCCAACCTTAATGATTCTGAGATTCTGGGAAAGAAAGATGTGCTGGAAGGTTGTGTGGTTTTTTTCCTGAATGGGGAGTTCACCTGGGTTCAGAGAGTGCCTGGCACCAGCCTGCTGCCATTCATTTCTTCCCTCAGCCAAAGCCGTGCCAAAGCTCTGGAAGTCATGTTTATTCATGAAGGAAAGTTATTCTCTGCTGCTTCCTAGATAAGCTCTGGCTGTGTATCTGCTGTGAGTGGAGATAGGACTCAAATAAATGGGTTTTATGCTCTGGTCTGCCAGTTCTGCAAACCACTGTGTGCCTGTGCTCACGAGAACTGACCTCATTTTTGTTTATTAACCTTTCAAAGGGAGAGGAAATGAGGGCCTGAGCTCTGACTCACCCTGAGCAGAGACAGTGGAAAAGGTGACCACCGTCTGCAGCTGTGCTGGGGTTTCCTAATCCACTGCAGCCAGGACTGGGTCAGTGGTCTTCAACTACTTTTTCTAGATCAGAAGCTCTTCACCATCCCCCAGGGCAGAGCTGCGTGTCTTGAAGCCACAGTTAAAATATTTATATATATATATATATATATATAAATAATTATATAGTGACAAGGGTTTAAAGAGTGGACCTGAATACCCAGGGATGTGGTAAGTGCTTGGAAAAGCCATGCACTTATTTTTATGCTGCTTCTCCAGAACTCACCTGTGATCCTTTCCAAAGCAAAGCCCAGCCCTTGGCAGTGGGTATTCCTTGCTTTTGGTAAGAAAAAAGTGAGCAGAGCAGTTCCTTAGATGGAAATGGAGTTGCAGAGTAGGTTTATTCATGGCTCATTTGCACCTGCTGCATTGGGTGAAGGTTGGTAAACACCTTTACATCCCTCTTTGCAGATACAGATACAAGTGCAAGGGAGAAGACAACATTTATAATTAATTACTGGAGAAGCACTTACCAATCACCAAACGTGGTTTGATCAGGTCAGACAACTTGCCATCTTTGTTACATCCACAAAGACCAAATGGTGCCACCAGGAAGGGAGGGATTTCCTTTTTCCAAGGCACATTGCAGCTGTTTCTGCCCTCAAATAATTTTCTTGGGTTATTCATCTCTCACCCTGACACGGCTAAATGTTGCCTGCCAACCCCCAGCTCCCAGCAGTTTGCCAGGGGAAGGCCTGTCAGTTTGGGAGAAAGAAAAGTGTTTTCTGGAAGGGTGTTTGATAAAGGTTGTCTGTGTCCTGGGTTGGATGGAGGAGCACAAAGTTTAACCTGATTTTGTGATGGAATGATTACAGTGTGAGTGGCAAGCGTTGGACTGCAGATGCAAAGCATCTTGCAGGTATCAGGTCTTTGATTGTTCCAGATCTTTAAGCATGAGTTATTCATGCAGGCCCTCTTCTACTCATTGGAGAGAAGAGAACACCTCTAAAGAAATTATCATATTACTGAACTTCAGATAATCAGCACAGGGAAGACACAGAACTGTTAGAACAGGTCCAGAGGAGGCCACGAAGATGCTCCAAGGGCTGGAGCCCCTCTGCTCTGGAGCCAGGCTGGGAGAGCTGGGGGGGTTCACCTGGAGAAGAGAAGGCTCCAGGGAGACCTCACTGTGGCCTTCTGGGACCTTATAAAGGGTCCTTGTAAAAAGGACCTTATAAAAGATAGGGGGACCTTATAAAAAAGATTAAAAGTGAGTTTTACTTGGGCAAATAGTGATAGGAAAATGGTGGGTGGTTTTAAATTCATAGAGGAGAGATTTGGATTAGATATTAGAAGGAAACTGTTCCCTGGGAGGGTGGGCAGGCCCTGGCACAGGTTGCCCAGAGAAGCTGTGGTTCCCCCTGGATCCCTGGAATGTCCAAGGCCAGGTTGGATAGGGCTTGGAGCAACTGGGATAGTGGAAGGTGTCCCTGCCCATGGCAGGGGATGGAATGGGATGATCTTTAAGGTCCCTTCCAACCCAACCCATTCTAGGCTGATCCCATGGTCCAGCCAGAGCTCTGCTTTCCACTGGCTTCTTTAGGTTTACACACCTGACTTTTAGATGCATAAATTTAAGGATCTGAATCCCCCCTTTAAAACCTGGAGCATTCCAGGGAGCTGCACAAATGCTTTCAGCACGTCTGGGGCAGCAATAAGGAAGAATGGTGTTGTAAGAGCCAACAGGCTCTGTAAAGATGTATTTACAGAGGAAATAATTTTTAAAAGATACACTTTATTTGTCTTGCAAGGCCAGCCTTGCATATCTTCACTTTCTGTTAATCAAAGGAACCTTTTGTTACAAAAGTGAACACCTTAAAAGCTTCCTTCATGCATCACAGGTGGTGGTGAAAAATGGCAACAGAGAAAAGAGATACAGATCACAAAAATGCTCCGAGTGCATAATTCAGGACATTTAAAAAGCCATCTGATACTATCACCTCATATTTTATTTTGCACTATAACCTGTCCTGAGGTAATGGGCTCACTAGAATATATTGTGGTTCAGGGAGGAAAAGGCTGTAGAGCATGAAATACCCCATCCTGAAATCATCTGTTTTCCAGGGGACACAATCTTTAATATCTTAATCCTTTGGGAGCTGCTGGCTGTTTGGTGGCAGATAACTACGAGGCTGTGAAACCTGGTATTAGGAACCTGAACACTGAATTCTAATAAACTCCAAAAGATACCATCATTTACTCCATTTCTCAGGCTCTGATAAACTCACCTCAGGACTTGAAAAGTTCAGTTTGCTCGGGAAAGAAGGGAGGAAAAAGCTGCAGAGTCGCTTTGAAAGAAGCTGAGGGTTCTTTTTCGGCTTCAAAGCGTTTTTGTGTGCTCTCTTTTATTGATCTGAGACAGCACATTGCTCTGCACAGGCTGATGGTGACACAAGCAGCCTTTTTATTTTATTTTATTTTATTTTTAGCTCAAGTAGTAAAGGGTACTTTAAAGCAGGAATTTCAGATGGGGGTGTAGTCACCCAGAAATGCAGTTTGACAGTGGTTCTCACAGCTGCCTGTGAGAAAGGTGTTTCCTCAGCGCTTCCTCCTCACCTCCCAGGTTCTTGTGTTGGGTTGTTGGCCTGGAACAGCAGCGTTTTATTCACATTTGGGGAGGTGCTGCAGCCTAATGGGGCATCACAAATAACTGAGAGCAGAGATGCTGGAAAAAAGGGAGGTCTGTTGACAACCCACCTGTGTAACCCAGGCAGCAACTGAAGCACCTCCCTGTTGGAAATTTAAAGGAGGGATAAGAAATGTTTTCAAAATTCTGCTAAGAACTCTGAAATAGGTAACACATCGAGGCAAAAATGTATCTGAATTCTTTTATATTATTATTATTATTTAATTCAGGTCTTCCACCTCCTTTTGGCTTCAGTATTAATGGGACATTATTCAACAGTGCAGCCTGTGTGGGGTATTATTGAATCCTTTTGAGAAATAAAAGGGTGGAATCAGAACATTACAACTCTGTAGAGAGGACATGCCATGTTTTTCTCCCAAGAAGTTTTTATTCTCTCCAGAAAATCTTCAGAAATGCCTCATTTTTCCAGAACCCCGTATTTTCTCCCTTCATTCCAAGCTTGGATGGGTCAGGATGTCTCCCACCTTGAACCCCCCTTTCCACAGAGAGCTTCTCCCGCCCATAGCACTGTCCCTCCTCAGCATCCAGCTGTGTTTTGTGCCTTCCCCCTTCTGAGGAGAAAAAACCTCCTTCTGGGGAAGGGATTTGGTTCCTGACCCGTTGATTGTCATCTGTGTCCCCTTCCCTGCCCAATCATCTCATGGCAAACTGACGGCAGAAGTTTGTGGGGAGCAGAGGAGGAAGGGGGGTCGTGCCTCACATTTCAGATCAGGTGTTTTATTGCTAAAAGGAGAGGTTAAAGGCAAGGAAGAGAGAGATTTGATTAGGCATTTCTGACTTTTTAATCTGCTCTCTGCCAACTCTGATTTGCCTGGTTCTTACACCAAATTGCTGCTCTTTCTATGCTGATTTCTGGAAAATCACAGACACCACTAGTGCTGAATTTTGGGGACTGAAAGCTGTGTGTTTAAATGAAATATTTCAGTGCCTCTCATTCCAAAAGGTGCCTGCACTGGGGTGATGGGCTCCACACACCTTCTCCATCCAGCAGACACAACTCCTGTGTGTTCTACCACCTGCTTTTCTCTCCTCCCCAGGTTGCAGGAGGCAGTGGGACAACATCACGTGCTGGCCCGAAGCGGAGGTGGGGGAAGTCGTGGTACGACCATGCCCCAAGTACTTCAGATTCCTCACCTCTTTCCTTGGTAAGCAAATCCCCAAAACCTTCTTTGAGGCTTCACAGGGGGAAGCTCCATGATATAATCAGAGGGAGAAACAAGCTCTTTCCACGAGGTGAAGGAGGTTTCTGAGCCCTGCATGATGCCCAATCCATCAGAGCATCCTCCCTGTCCTTGCAGCACCACACACTCTGGATCTCAGGGGTGTGAAAGTGGCTCCTGGTGAAATCCAATATTGTGGATGTTGTGCTCTGAAAACTGAATCAACCTGTGGAACAGTATGTTTGTTGTGCAAAATGAGCAGTTTAGCACCATCATTAATTAAGTCTCTGACACAAAACAAACAAGCTGAAGCTGCACAGAATAAAGGGTTGGTTTTTTTGTTTTTGTTTTTTTTTCTGCTGAAATGACAGGTTTGGCCACAGGCCAAGAAATTTAACCTGACAAATAACGGGCAGGGAAGATTAATGGAGAAAGTCTCTTAACTCACTGGGGTGTTTGGGAAGGTTTAGTTTAAAACTCAGGTCTCAGGGGGCTGTGCAGCAACAGGACTGGTTGTCTCCTGGTGGTTTATGGTCATTTTTTACTCCTTTTATTATGGAATCCCTGCAGGCCTCCACAGAGAACTGAGCTCTTTTGCACTGGAGATTATGCAGTGAGCTGATAAATCTCCACTTTTAGAGCTTGGGCAGTCCAAACTCACACGAAGGATATGGGTGGGAGCAAGGATACAACATCATCCCTGTTTAACAGGCCAGGGCACTGCACTCATTAACCAGCTGATTACCTGCCTTGCCCAAGGCCACACCAAAATTCTTCGGAGACCCAGAAGGGAAATTCAAAATCCCCGGAGTCCTATCCTAGTGCTGACCTCCCTGTTTCCCAAATTCCCTACTAGTTCGTCACTCTTGTGTCAACAGCCAGGGAAAACAGGCAGAAGCTGCAGGACAAGACCCCTGTGCACTGGTTCAGCCACGTGGAATAATTGCCTGCTGTCCCTGCTTTGTGCCCTCTCCCGAGCACAGCATTCCCTCCCTGGGTTTTAGGGACCCAGCAGAGTTACTTAATCAGGGCAAAAAAAGTCTCTCCAACAAGTTTTCCTGATGCATAATCCCCCCAGAGCAGAGCAATGAGGAAAAAACAGTAAATATTTGGGCCATATATATATATAGGTCAAGCATTGGAATGGGCTGCCCAGGGAAGGGGTGGATTCACTGTCCCTGGAAGTGTTCAAAAATATAGAGGTGGTGTTAAGGGACATGCTTTAGTGGTGGACCTGGCAGTGCTGAATTAGTGGTTGGACTTGATGATTTTAGAGTTCTTTTCTAACCTTAATGGTCCTATGATTCCATTTTTTATATGTACATAAATATATAAATCATTGTGGCTATGTTGAACTTAAGCTGAGGGAAGTGGGATGCCTTTAATTCTGTGGGAGGATGGACTTCTGAGAATCCATAAACTTGCCCATTCAGGTGCAGCTGTTGCTCCCTGAGTTGTCCTAGGACATCCTGGTCTCCCTGTCCCCCTGCAGGAAGGTGAAGACCTCCCATGGTTTTTGTGTCATTGGGTCTGTCAGGTGCTTAAGAGTATCTCAAAAAACTTTGGGTTAGGTTTTCCCAGGCAACTGGAGACAGAACAAGAGGAAATGACCTCAAGCTGCCCCAGGGGAGGTTCAGGTTGGACATCAGGAAGAATTTCTTCATAGAAAGGATTGTTAAGCATTGGAAGGGGCTGCCCAGGGAGGTTGTGGAGTCCCACACCCACCTTGCAGTGAGCCTGCAGCAGCTGTGGGATTTTTGTGAGCAGGGAGCTCAGCAAACGTCCTCCAGTGCATCTCAAATAGTACCAGATGCTCATGGTTAGGAACCCGAAGGGAGCCCTCAGTGCTTCTGGTGGAGGTGCCCATCTGTGAGCTCAGGACCTGGTGCTAAGATATTTAGGAAAACAATTTCCAACCTGGAGTGGCATTTGTATCAACTGATTTTGGAGTTTTCCGTAGGTAAACCTATCTCTGAGCTGGTTTTACAGTCAGAGGTGAGAAAAGGGCTCCTTAAAGGTACAGTTCAGATAGTTTTTAGACTTCGAGTTCAGGATGAGTCGGAAAACATTGATAACAACTGAGGCCCTTCCCAAAGCAGAAAGAGCAGCTTTGATTTTTCCCCGAGCCAAACGTGGGAAGCAGGGATGGTCTGACATAAAAGGAGGGGAAGATTGCCTCTTGTTTTAGGGGGTTGGTTGAAGAATGAATGCCATCAAAGTTTGTGAAGCAGTTCTGCCTTTGTAGCAGTCGGGACCCTTGAGTAGCTCTCAAGGAACTCAATCACCTGGTTTAATGTTTGTGTCGTCCTCTTTGATCCATTGGCAGGAACATGAAAGCTCCTATCAAGCTGTGAGCAGGAGAAAACCTTGTTGTCTATTTACAGCAGGAAAAAGGGGAAGCACTGGGAAGCAAAGAGTTAATGTCATTTTCCTGCCTGACAGAGAATACGCTCTTCAAATGACTAATAATCCCATCTCATGGAAAATAGAGGATAAAATATCTCCTGGCATTTCGAAACCTTAAAATGCCTGCCATAGCCCTGATGTCATTTGACATTAAATTTTTATGGCAATCACGGATTCAGGAAATTTTCATTATTTCACAACGTTCGTCACCACCGTGTGAAGGAGATGGATGAGAATATTTCTGGCACCTTCCCTTAATAAATTGCATTTCTTGCTGTCCCTTGACCAGAGAGCTCCAGCTTGCTTTTAAATACATGGAAGATGACATTTGTAATAGGGGTTTATTTCTCATGGTTTCTCCAGAAGCAAATTGTCCCTCCTGCACATGTTGATCAGTATAAATTAACACTGATGGTTTTTAAGCTTCAATTGTAAGATTAATTGGCTTAAGGAGGTTGGGGGAGGGGGGGCATAACCAGTCTCTGGAATCCCACTTGCTGAGTTGAGATCCTCCTGAGTTTTGGGCTTGCCCAACTCCTTTTGTCCTCTGGGGCTCTAAATTTATTTCCACTCTCCTTTCCCGCCCCTCGTGAACACTTTTTTTGTTCTGTATTGCTTTTGAAACGGGAACAAAAATTGAATAAAATGAGGAGAGGGATGAGCAGATAGCAGCAGATAATGAGGAGACATTCCCAGTGCTATAAAGAACTCCAAAATGAGCCAGACCCCACCATTTATTCGCTGCAATGCTCATTTGAAAGGAAACGAGCAGTTGAGGGCATTTTGTTATGGAGGTTTGTTCACTGAGAGCCCTCCACCTGCTCAGGCTGTGGAGTTGCTGTACCTCCCCCTACCCAAAAATGTGCATCTTTTTCGGTGTGAATGTTTCCTGCAATGCTGTGATTGGAGTATCAAAAGATCTAATGGGAAATTTGTCCTAAAGTTCGACAGCTCTGCTTTTGGTAGGAGGAAACAAACAGTTTACCAAAGGTGCCTAATGAGAGGGAACAGGTGATGTTTGGAAGGGAGGAATTACCTGTATTTGTTAAGGATCGAGGTTTTCACAATTAGAAAGTGCAGGAAAGGCAAAAGGAGATAAGGAAAAAGGGAGTATTGCCCCAAAAACGGGGTGCAGGATATTTCAGGGTGCTGGAAATGTGGCTTCAGTGACTGCAGGCCAAGTGATGTGAAAAACAGCAAATGAAGAAAACAAAGGCCGTGCCTGTTGTGTGATGGGCTCACACCATGCCATGGCTCCCACTGGGACATTAAATTATGACATATAAAAACATGAAATAGCAGAAATTTTACTGAAAGAATGACCTTGTGAGATCATGGCTGAGGCAGAGAAAGCAAATTTGGAAGATCTCTTGTCATGATTACCCCACAAATTTTTATTCCCCAGATCTGACCACTTCAGCATCCAGTTTAATGCAAGCTGTAGCTGTCTGCAGGTCTCAAGTGTTTCCCAAGAGCAGTGGGATGGATCAATAATAAAAATGGAACTATTGATGTGCCAGTGGGCCCAGCAGCATCTCAAGAGGAGTAAATGATAAGAAGGGCTGTTGCTTTAGCAACTTCTGCTTGAAAAAATGGGTTTGTGACCATGGAATATGATGAGGGAGAAGCAGGATATTGCTGGTCAGAGCAGACCTTCCCTTCTGCTCTAGAGGCTCTTACAGAAAAGGGTAAGGGCAACAAGAAGGGGTAAAAGCAAACACTCCTGAGCTCCCATTAAATTCAGGCTCCCATTAAAAGCCAGTAAGAGGTTTTCTTCCCCAAAGATCAAAGAGCTAAACCAGCACCTCTGACACAAACTTTCAGACGTGCCTCTGAGCCTGAAGTGTGTGTTTGAAACAGCTGAGAGGCAAAAAGAAATTAAGAGAAAAACCTCAAGAGCCAGACATAGACAAGAGCCCTCTGCATTTATTCAGTTCAGTGTTTAACTCCTACCCTGATCAAACACCTTTGCTAAAGAAAACGTTCTGGTTTTATCTTTGTTCCACCAACTCCTCCCTTCTCTCCTTCCGTGTGGTGAATAAATCACGTCATTCTTCCACCAGGCCCTTTCCTGGTCGGTATAACCCAATCTGCAGAGTCATTTTGATTCATGCCTCTTCCACATCATTCCCAGAGGTATTTATAAATCAGGGAGTCGAATAAGAAGGTTTTGCATGGGTTTGTTCCTGTTCCAGAAATTCTCTCCCCATTAATAACTGGGGTGTGCAGAGCTTTGGTGTGGAACAGCATCTCCCCATTTTCCCCAGAGAACAGTGACTGGAGGAAATAATCACTGTGGAACAGAGTTAGATCCTTTGGATAGGGATAGGAGGATCCTGGAGGCAGAGGAAGAACTCTCTGGGCTGTTTGTGTGGGCAGTGGAGAGAATAAGATCAAGGCCAGGAGGCCTCATGGGAGATGCAGTTGAGCAGGTCCATCAGGTGGGAGATTCCTGTCCAAAGGAGAACAGGGCCACTGTCATTGGAGTAATGTCTGAATTAAAGATATAGACAGGCAAACCAAAACTAGATGAATGCTCATCCATCTGTAAAAACATGGATGGAAAGGGTCTGAGTCTG